GTGATCTGAGCTCACTGCAATCTCTGCCTCCCAGGTTCAAGTGATTCTCCTGCCTCAGTCTCCTGAGTACCTGGGACTACAGGCACATGCCACCACGCTTGGCTAATTTTTTGTATTTTTAGTGGTGATGGAGTTTCACCACGTTGTCCAGGCTACTCTGGAATTCCTGACCTCAGGGGATCCGCCTGCCTTGGCCTCCCAAAGTGCTGGAATTACAGGCGTGAGCCACCAGGCTCGGCCATATTTTGCTATTTTCTACATGGATTACATGTTGCAATGGTAATGTTTGGACTATTGTGGGTTAAATAGAATGTATGATTAAAGTTAATTCATCTATTTCTTTTAACTTTAAAACATATGTCTGTTAGAGGATTTGAAATTCCACATGCGGCTTGCATTTGTGCCCTGCATTTTATTTCTGTTGGACAGTGCTCTTTGGGACATGCTTTGAAGGTGGAGTCAACAGGATTTGACAGATTACAGAGGAGAGACTTCGAGGGTGATTCCACGACTTCGGGGCTGAGCACCTGGAAGAATGGGGTTAATATTAGCCAAGATGAGGAAGGCTGTTGGTTTGGCAGGTGCGTGGGCAGGTTAGGAGTTTAGTTTTGAATATGTTGGAGGTGTTTATGAAACTTTTAAGTGGAAATGGAAACTAGGCAGTTGGATGCATAAGTCCAGGGTTCAGGGGGACAGTTCAGGCTGGCGATGAAGATGTGGGAGTCTGAGCAGAGATTGTATTCAAATATTCAATCCATGAGACTTGACGAAATCACTTCTCTTCCAAATGATGTACAGCCTACAGAATCATTTTCCCTATCTTTGTAGGTTTATGTCTTCATGTTGTTTCATTTATTTTTCAGTAATTCACTGTTTCAGTGAGTTTTGGGTAGGAGCCAGATTGGATGCGTGTGTCCAATTCACCATCCAACACTATTAACGACTTGAAACTTCTGTGGTTGTTCGGTTGCTTTTCTGACCTTTTATTCTGGACGGAAGAGAGATGCTTATGAAGTTGTAGTAATCAGTAAGCCTTCCCACACTGCTCCATCAGCCTTCCTGGAGGAACAATGTCTTCTGTCTTTCCCGTAGGCAAGAAGGCTGCTCGATCTTGCCACAGTGAAAGCGAATGGATTGGCCGCCTTCCTTCTACAACATGTTCAGGAATTACCAGTCCCGTTGGCCCTGCCTTTGGAAGGTAGGTATATGTTCTCAGTTAATCAGAAAGGGAAGGGCAGTCAGTGCAGATCCATGGTTAAGAGTAGAACACACCTCGGTTAGCATCCCATATGCTGGCAGTGTAGCCTCCATGTGACTCAGTTTCCTTGTTTTAAGGCTACCACCACCCCCTATCTCATTGCAATTTTAGGAGGATTAAAAGGACAAAAGCGTGTGATGTTAGCTATTAGCTTTCATTATCTCCCACACAGTACACTGACAATTGGAGCTACCATATGCTGAAGGCTAACTAAAGGTGTTACTTACCATCCAAACTCTCATTATCTGTACCAAAAAGATACGGACACATGTTTTGAGTTAGGGCTGGTACCTCTTGATCTCTGAAATTTAGCAGCTCACAATCGGAAACTCAAGAACCAAGTGGATCTAGAGACTCTGGTATCCCTCAGTGCCCAGGGTCACCACCCAAACTCAGGAACAGGAGGGGCTTGGACAGCACCTCTTGAACATACCAGTCATCCTGCCAGGTGCTTTATGGACAATGTCTACCCTTTGCAACAACCCTGAGAAGTAGGTGGTGGTTTTTTCACCTTATAGATGTGGAAACTGGGCAGGGAGGTTAAGTGACAAGGGAGGGGGCAGATGGGTCTGATTGTAAATTGTCCCCACCTACACTTTCTCTTTTCTTGGGAGAAGACATGTCAGTTGTAAAGAGAGGGTGCAAAAGTCTGGCACTCTTTAGGGCTTGCTCCTATACCACTGTAGGGAAAGCTCATTGGCACTGAAGCTCCCTGAGCTGTGTGTGGTGCTGGCAGATGGGTCTATCACCCTGGGCCCCTGCCCTCTGGGCAGCAAGCAAACCTGTGGGAGGGGTGGCTGTAAGTCTGTGCCTGGCACTCGCAAGTGCACTGTCTCATCAAAGAACGGGATCTAAACATCAGTGCACCACAGCGGGGTGAGCAGCATGGAGCGCGGGGCCGGTTTGGCCCTTGGTTGAGGTTTGCCGTTGATATCATCAAGCACAGCTGGTCACTGTAAGACCAGGCCAGGGTGCAGGATTCCCCACACTTCTAAAGGTGTGTTTATTTCTCTATAAAATGACATTTTCTTTTTTTCCGGAGAATTTTAGTATCATTGGTGATGGCTGGAAAGCCTGCATTGGAAATCAGGTCGGAAGAGGAAGATATATATCTGATATGTATTGGAGAGGAAGATATTTACCTTATGGTCTAAGTTCAGGGATCCTGGTGTATTCAGAGGGCAGAAAGCTCAGCAATAATCATCAACTCTGGGAACAACAGAGGTGACATAAACACAGGGCGTCCCCTTTGTGTGACTGCAGATAGTCATCAGTGAGCTCAGAGCTCTCTGAAAATTACTTGTTAGTTTTTGGGTTGAAAATAAGTGGGCCAGTGTTTGGTTGGGGGCAGTGAGGCTGTGATGGCGGGGGACCGTGCTGAGTTCCTACCAGCCGGGGACTCTAAACCGGCACTTCCCCGTTTCCTGAAAGGGGAACTAAACCCTGACACAGGAAATGGCTCGCTCGCATTGCTTTCAGGATGAGAAAGGAAGAGCAGTAGCCTTCCAAACACACCCTGTGCATGAAAACTCTCCCTGCGTGGGGTGCATGGGGAGGATGAGGAAGTGGAGGCAGGATCACAGACTCTCATTCTAGTGCTCAGCTGGGGCACCCTGGTGACCCTGAGGCCTTCTATTGCTAGGCCCACCCAGATCAATCAGGCTCATCTCCCCATCTCGAAGTTTAACTTTATCACATCTGCAGAGTTCCTTTTGCCACATAAGGTAACATATTCACAGGTTCTGAGGATCGGGACACGGACATCTTCGAGGGTCTATTGTTGTGCCTACTATAGCCATGAATAATAATGATAATAAGCACCATTTTTTGAGAGTTTGCCATGTCAGATATTCTTTTAAACTCTATTTTATCTCACTGCCTCCTGAAACAATCCTTCCAGGTGTATATTGTCCCCCTTTTTACAGATGAGAGAACTGAGGCCCAGAAAGGCTAAATGGCTTGCCCAAGTGTGTGGTGGACGCAGGTTTTCACACTCAGGTGTGTCTGACTTCAGAGACTGGGCTCCTGAGCCCTGAAGCCCTTTGTTCCCCTTAGAAAAAGTTAACTGAGAGTGAATGGTGAAGGGATTTATCCAAAGCCACCCGGCCATTATGGCAGGACAGATATCAGAATACAGGTCTTCTGATCACAGCCTAGAGCCCCTTCCCATCATCTACAACTCCTCCTGGTGTGAGTAATGATAACGGCAGTCACTGATGTCTTTGGACTTACTTTGTGTTGAGCACTGTGCTGAGCACTTGACATACGTCATCTTAGTTGATCCGTGTAAAAAGTCTGTAAGGTAGAGATCAACATTTCTCCCACCTTACAGAAGTGGAAACTGACCGTTAGGAAGTTTCCTTGATTGTCCTCAAAGTCCACAGCTTGTGAATGGAGGAGCCAGGATGGGCGCTTGCTGGCTGTCCTATCCCTTCAGTTATGTCAGCTTCCCCCACAGCAGCCCACTGTCTGGTTAGGTCCCCTCTTCACCATGGTGCCACCTTCATCTGCCTCTTCTTCTGCCTTCCAGCTGCCACATGCAGGAAGTACATGGCCAAGCTGAGGACCACAGTGTCTGCTCAGGCTCGCTTCCTCAGTACCTATGATGGGGCAGAGACGCTCTGCCTGGAGGACATATACACAGAGAATGGCCTGGAGGTCTGGTCAGACGTGGGCATGGCTGGACCCCCGCAGAAGAGCCCGGCCACCCTGGGCCTGGAGGAGCTCTTCAGCACCCGCAGCCACCTCAACGACGATGCAGACACCGTGCTGGTGGTCGGTGAGGCGGGCAGCGGCAAGAGCACGCTCCTGCAGCGGCTCCACTTGCTGTGGGCTGCAGGGCGAGACTTCCAGGAATTTCTCTTTGTCTTCCCATTCAGCTGCCGGCAGCTGCAGTGCGTGGCCAAACCACTCTCTGTGCGGACGCTACTCTTTGAGCACTGCTGTTGGCCTGATGTTGATCAAGAGGACATCTTCCAGTTCCTCCTTGACCACCCTGACCGTGTCCTGTTAACCTTTGATGGCTTTGATGAGTTCAAGTTCAGGTTCACGGATCATGAGCGTCACTGCTCCCCGACCGACCCCACCTCTGTCCAGACCCTGCTCTTCAACCTTCTGCAGGGCAACCTGCTGAAGAATGCCCGAAAGGTGGTGACCAGCCGTCCAGCCGCTGTGTCAGCATTCCTCAGGAAGTACATCCGCACCGAGTTCAACCTCAAGGGCTTCTCTGAACAGGGCATCGAGCTGTACTTGAGGAAGCGCCATCGTGAGCCTGGGGTGGCAGACCGCCTCATCCGCCTGCTCCAAGCGACCTCAGCCCTGCACGGTTTGTGCCACCTTCCCGTCTTCTCGTGGATGGTGTCCAAATGCCACCAGGAACTGTTGCTGCAGGAAGGGGTGTCCCCAAAGACCACTACAGATATGTACCTGCTGATCCTGCAGCATTTTCTGCTGCATGCCACCTCCCCAGACTCAGCCTCCCAGGGTCTGGGACCCAGTCTTCTTCGGGGCCGTCTCCCCACCCTTCTGCACCTGGGCAGACTAGCCCTGTGGGGCCTGGGCATGTGCTGCTACGTGTTCTCAGCCCAGCAGCTCCAGGCAGCACAGGTCAGCCCTGATGACATTTCTCTTGGCTTCCTGGTGCGTGCCAAAGGTGTCATGCCAGGGGGTACGGCGCCCCTGGAATTCCTGCACATCACTTTCCAGTGCTTCTTTGCTGCATTCTACCTGGCATTCAGTGCTGATGTGTCACCAGCTTTGCTCAGACACCTCTTCAATTGTGGCAGGCCAGGCAACTCACCGATGGCCAGGCTCCTGCCCACGCTGTGCATCCAGGGCTCAGAGGGAAAGGACGGCAGCGTGGCAGCTTTGCTGCAGAAGGCCGAGCCGCACAACCTTCAGATCACGGCAGCCTTCCTGGCGGGGCTGTTGTCCCGGGAGCACTGGGACCTGCTGGCCGAGTGCCAGGCATCTGAGAAGGCCCTGCTCCGGCGCCAGGCCTGTGCCCGCTGGTGTCTGGCCCGCAGCCTCCGCAAGCACTTCCACTCCATCCCGCCAGCTGCGCCGGGTGAGGCCAAGAGCATGCACGCCATGCCCGGGTTCATCTGGCTTATCCGGAGCCTATACGAGATGCAGGAGGAGCGGCTGGCACGGAAGGCTGCACGTGGCCTGAATGTCGGGCACCTCAAGTTGACATTTTGCAGTGTGGGCCCCGCCGAGTGTGCTGCCCTGGCCTTTGTGCTGCGGCACCTCCGGCAGCCCGTGGCCCTGCAGCTGGACTACAACTCTGTGGGTGACATTGGCGTGGAGCAGCTGCTGCCTTGCCTTGGTGTCTGCAAGGCTCTGTAGTGAGTGTTACTGGGCATTGCTATTCAGGCATGGGGAAGCATCATCAAGGCTAAGCGTGGGAGCACCGAGCTGGGATCTAGAAATCTGGGCCCAGCTTCACCTTTGCCACCCTTCTTTGCACCCCTGTCCAGATCCCTTCCCTTCTGGGTCTTAATTTCAATATGTGGTGATGACAGCCATACTTTATTGACTGGCCTATGTGCTGGGTCTGGTGCTACTCTTTCCGGAATGACCTCATCTAATCTCTACAACTACCCAGGGCTGTAGGCAGGAATGTTATTATCTCCAGTATCCTTGACTTGAGGCTCAGAGGAGTGAAGTAAATTGTCCAGGGTCACACAGGAAATGGCAGAGTTGAGGTTCACAAATCACATCTTTCTGATAACAGGTTTCCTGCCCCCCACCAGTCTCTGGATACACTTCAGAGGCTCCCTGAAAACCCTGAGGTCACATGCAGAAAGTTTTGTGTACCATGTGTCACCAAATCAGAGGTGACTAGTGCCCCATCAGAGACTTTAACATCCCAATCAGATGGGAATGTCAGGGCCCAAGAAATAGAAAGTGGCTGCAGGATTTCAACAGTGGCTATCTTCCATTTGCCTGGCCACTTTCAACAATGGAAGAGGAGCCACTCTTGGATTCCTGAGGTAGCACAGTGTCCAAACAGGATTTCAGCACTACCTGTATTGCTTAAGAACCCCAGCCAAAGATGTGAGGTTTTGCCCTTTGGAGAATCGGTGCCCCTGAACTCAGTGGCCTCTTTCCACATCTTGGGGGCAGGCAAGGGCAGAGGGTGTGCCTAGGCCTGGGGATCAGCATGCCACAGATTCCCCAACATCCTTCCAGCTTGAAAGGGGATGCCCTGCTTCTATTTAGAACCTATGGGAAAGCAGAAGTTCTAGATTGAAGTTAAAATCGATTCCCAGCCTCCAGGGGCTTTAGGTTACACCTGGATGACCTTAATTGACCCTAAGCATGGGACAAACCTCTTCTTGAGAGTATTAGGATGGTATACATCTTCTCTGGGGCAAAGCAACAAGATTTATTTTTCACTATGGGCCAAACACATGGATATCCACTAGAAACTGTGCAGTGACTTTTGTTAACCCTGACGTAAGGACCATGGTCATAAGGTTAAAGCATAATAACAACATAATACATAACATATATAGTGAATATATATATATGTATTATACACAATGAATATAAATATGATTATACCCATCATGGTCTTGGAGGAAACAGATGATACACTTAAAATGGATGATTTGAGGAGAGTTTAATAACGAGATTGTTTACAAGCCATGGGCAGGAGTTAGGAAGAGCGAGAGGGTTGGTGCAGGGGCCTGGGGTTAGTAACAGCTGGGAGAGGGTAGACTTGAAGGGGGAAGGGGAGGGAGACTAATTAGCTGCGGGGAAGGTATGGAGAGGGCTGCCTGAGCTTCTGCAACCTGGAAGAATACCGCTTGGCCCTAACTCCCCACCCCGACTCTTGCCCCTGGCCAGCGCCTTCCACTGACTGGACCCATCAGGGAGACCGAGTGGGCTGCCTGCTGGAGTCGTCCCCAGGCATCAGCCTCCCAGGAGCCAGAGATGGGTAGAGAAGGGGGAGAGTGGATCTGGCCAGGCAAGTGGAAGACAGCCAGCACCAAACTGTATTTCCCTAGGAGGGAGGATCCTGATACTTTGAGTGGGAATTTGGAAACCTGTCTGTTGGAGCAATTTCCCTGATAGAAATAAGAATGTGCATTTTCCTGGGTAGTAGACTCACAGTTTTTACCCTAAGAGGCCAGCCATCACTGGCCTGTGTGATCCTCATAGGCCAGTCCATCTCTGGAATTCTTGAATGGATCTTCCATCCTTGATTAAGGATGTCCCCATGATTCCCAGGGTGTGCAGAAGGGCTCTGGGAAACCTGTAGGTCTGTCTGTATGTTCAGAGAAAGGTGAGGGTGGCCTGGTTCTAGCTCCTGGTGCTCAGACTGTGGTGTGTAAAGGCATTTGTGGAAATGCAGATTCCTGGGCCTGCCTCTAGTGATTCCCATTCAGTAGGTTTGCGGTGGGGCCCAGGGAATCTATATTTTTCACAAACATCCCTGGGGATTCTGATACAAGTGGTCTCACTCTGGGAGAACTACTGGTCTGCAGCAACCAGCTTGGTTTTCCGTTAGCAATTACTGTCCTTGAGCGAGTTTTACTGCTCTTCACCTTACACACACTAAAATTGCCAAGGCCGTAGGGGAGGGGAAGCAACCATGAGGTTGCTGTGAGTGCATTGTGTGTGTGTGTGTGTGTGTGTGAGAGAGAGAGAGAGAGAGAGAGAGAGAGAGAGAGGGAGAGAGAGAGAGACAGAGAGATTGAGAGAGAAAGAGAGAGAGAGAGAGGAAGGGAGGAAGGGGGAGGGCACAGGCTCCTCTCCCACAGTGCCAACCTGCCTCTCTCCCACTTGAAGTGTTTCCATGCCAACTGAAATCCTCAGCCTCTAGGAAATCCTATATACACAGTGCCCCTATATAGGTTTCTTTAGACTCTGGCTCTCTCAGACTCTAGAGTGATGACTTTAAAAGTTTTTTGAATGTGACCCACAGTGATTGAGAGAGAGAGAGAGGAGAGAGAGAGAGAGAGAGAGAGAGCGAGAGAGCGCGCACCACCGTGTAAACATGGAACCAAAGCTTTACGAAATGACTTTGCTTTGTGAACTCTGAGGCACTCTGCTCTCTTCTGTTCTGTTCTATTTCCATTTTAGAAATGCTGCTCAGGACCTTCAAAATGGTTTGCATGACCTGCACCCTGCAGTCTGAAAAATCCCTGCACTAGAGAAGTGGCCATAAGAGGCCCTAAGGGAGAAGCTGCACAATGTCATGGTTAAGAGTGGGGTTTGGAACCAAGCTGCCTAGGCTCAAAGCCTTTATGTTCCGTACAGCCTTGGCAAAGTCACTTCGCTTGTCTGTGCCTCAGTTTCTTTCTCACAAATGCACATAATAATGGTACCCACTTCACTGGCTTGTCGTGAGGAGGAAATAATGTTATTACTAGGAAGTGCTAAGGATTTTGACCAGTGCTAGCGATCATGGTTCTAGGTGACTTTTACTGTGTGCTAGGTGCTCACAAGGCTTTATGTGCACAGGCTGGTGAGGCTGATAATACTATTGTTCCCTTTTTTATAGATGAAGAGACCAGCAAATAACTAGTAAGTGGCTGATCACGATCCCAATACCCAGCTGAGGCACTCCAGAGCCTGAGCTGTTAACCATTCAGTCAGGGCCTCGCAAGTTTGCCTGAAGATAAAGAATCATGTGCACAGTTGTTAAAATATACAGATTCCTGGCCCCACCCGGCAGATAGTTGATTGCCAGCTCCAGGGTATGGGCCTGAGAATCTGTATTTTAGGGAAGCTTTCAGATGATGTTGTGATCAGGTGAGTTTTGGGAGTGGTGCCCCAAGAGGAGTGGCAGACAGGGCTTGCTCAGCAGGGACTAGCCTGTTGGAGTGGTGTCACTGGGGATGTCATCAGGGATGAATGAAAGTCTTTTTGGGGGGTTGTAGATTTTTTTCTTGTCTTACTAGCTCCATTTTCAAATGTATTTATTTTGTCTCTTTAGTTTGCGCGATAACAATATCTCAGACCGAGGCATCTGCAAGCTCATTGAATGTGCTCTTCACTGCGAGCAATTGCAGAAGTTAGCGTAAGTCAGCCTGGGCTGTAGACAATGGGCCCCAAGTCCCCTGGTCTCACCCCAGGTCGTGCAGCCTGGGAAGCTGTGAGTGATGGGCTGGGGCAGGGGCTGTTTGCATGATGCGGAGGGGTGCCGGTGATTCCTGCCCAGAGGGGAAGGGCAACCCTGGGATTTGGTACTCACTGTCCATTGTGCTTTGCTTCTGTGTCTCCTCTCTTCTGGAACCGAACAGTCTATTCAACAACAAATTGACTGACGGCTGTGCACACTCCATGGCTAAGCTCCTTGCATGCAGGCAGAACTTCTTGGCATTGAGGTGAGCCCAGGTTTTCCTTATTCCCTGGAAACTATTTTTTGCCCCATTCCTGAGTCAGTCTGATCTGGTCTTGGCCTGGCGCTGCCCACACTGACTCCTGACCTCCTGATTGAATGCAGGGACAGTGGCTCATTTTAAGCAGGGGTTATCTAATGCTGTGATCTCCCCAGTAAACTCTGGACTAGCCCTGCTGAGGACTTCCTGTCTTTTGACCTTTGGCCCTTAGGGCAAAAAAGCTTTTCTAGGCCCCTTTCTTTTTCTGTGTCTAAGAGTGTCACAGTTTTGTAGGGTTACTGAGTTCCGCGATGCATGTTGAGCTTGTCCCGGTGGGGAAGGCATACACAGTTAGTTGCCACCCCAGCTGTGGCAGCCAGTTGCTATAACACTCCCAGGAGGTCCTTTCACCACTCAGAGCATGCAAGGTTTGCAGTCCATCTGGGTCTGCATTTCTGCTGCTCCAGTGTTTCCCAGTTTCAACTGGAGTCTCTCTGTCTCCTGCCTGACGCCATTAAATCGCCCCTTTAGCTGGCTGCTGGGTTGGCCTGGCTTCTCTCTCTTTCCCTCTCTCAGATATTCTTGCCTCCTGTGATTTGTGAGGCAGTAAAAGAAGACAAAGTAAAGAATTGCCTCCATCTATTCTTTTACCCCTTGGGCTGGGTTTGTGGATGGGAGCTGCCATCTTAAAATGGCTGGCCACATAGCTCAGCCTCAGCGAGGGCTACTGAGATCAGAACCACAGGTGCCAATTTGTACAAAGGACTCAGTCCTGCTACCACTGCCTGCTCCCTCAGACTCACAAGCCTGGAATAGGCTGTGGCCAGACCTGGCTGGCCCATCCCTGAGAAGGGTGCTAGTTTCAGAAATGGAGGCTGAGTTTGCGGCCAACACAATAGTCCTCTGTTATGTGCAGGAGAAACATTCTAAGACCCCCGTGGATGCCTGAAACCATGGAGAATACCAAGCCCTACACATACCATGCTTTTTCCTGTGCCTACACACCTGTGATAAAGTGTAGTTTATAAATTAGACACAGTAAGAGAGTAATAGCAACTCATAATAAAATAGAACAATTATAACAATATACTATAATAAAAACTATATGAATATGGACTTTCTCCGTCTCCCTCAAAATATCTTCTTGTACTGTACTCACCCTTCTTCTTGGGAAGATGTGTGGTGGTAAAATGCCTGTGTGATGGGAGGAAGTGAGGTGGATGACGCACGCAGCACTGTGCTCTAGCGCTGGGCTGCTGTTGACCTGACCACACGTCAGGAGGAGAATCATCTGCTCCCAGAGATCCTGAATCTTTGAGCAACGATGAGGTCGGCGGCTGGATGTCAGGAGCAGATGATCTTGATGACTACCAAATGGGAGCGTATAGAGCGTGGATGCCCCGGACGGGCGACTGATTCACGTCCTGGGTGGGATGGAGCCGGATGGCGTGTGATCAGAATAGCATGCAATTTAAAATGTATGAATTGTTTTTCTCTAGAATTTTCCATTTAATATTTTTGGACTGCAGTTGAATTCAGATAACTGAAACCATAGAAGGCGAAGCTGCGGATAAGCAGGGGGCGGAGACTACCGTATATCATTGTAATTGAGAGCACAGGCTCTGGAGCCAGACTGCCCGAGGTCTGAACCCTCATTAGCTGCATGACCTCAGGTCAGCCCAATGTCTGTGTGCCTCCGTTTCCCCTTCTGTAGAATGGGGGTAATAACCATGGCTACCTCACAGATTGTAGTGATGAGGAAGCGAGTTAATCCACATGAAGGGCTACACCGTCTGGCAGGGGCTTTATATAGTAAGCGAGTGGCTGAAAGATGATGGGTAAATTACACAAGCACTCAGCTTGCTTCTCCTTATGTGAGTCCGGTCCTCCAAGCAGGGATTCGATGTGCCACACATTTATTGGGGAAAAGTCCTAAGAGGGGAAATGGGGAAGGGAGCTGGGGGAGGCTGGGGGATGTGTCCCTGAGTGAAGAAGAGAGGGAAGGAAGGAAGGTTGAGACGGGGCACCTTAGACTTCCGTGCAGTCCTAAGACATCTTGGCAAGGCTGATGAGGAGTTCTTGAACCAAATTCACCAGGCAGGGGAGCCTGATGTCTCAGGCAGGGGAGCCTGATGTCTCAGGCAGGGGCTGGCAAGTGCAGACACCTGGATGTTAGATTTTGGAGCACAGCAGCTGGGGCCCTTGGCTACCTCCAGGGAGCTGAGGCTGGAGACCTGAAGGGCGAGTTCTCCTAGCTGCCACACCCCTTCTCCAAGGCTACAGTAATATCTGCCTTATAGGATTGCTGTAAGCTGAGTAGCTTGAAGTTCCTTAAAAGAATGAAGACGTATAGTTATCCCAGGAAGCCTGGGGTTGCAGGTGAGAGCTCTGGGGCTTCTCCGAAGCTCTCCGAGGTGTCTGGGTTTGGTTGCAGCAGGATCCTTCCTTGCTGGGATCTTTCCCCATCCCTAGTCTTGGCTCTTCCTCTCTCCTTCCTTCCTGGAAGGCTCAGCGGGCCCCACCCCTCTCTCCCACCCACCTGGACCTGCCCAGGGCTCTTGTGCAACAGGTAAAGCCTACCTGTAGCAACAGCAGATCTGGGAAGGCTGCAGAGGGCACGATGGGATCTGGATCGATGGTGGCTGAGGCCGGAGGGAAAGGTGTGACCCTGAGTCATCCTTGCTGTCCCAGGGAAACCACCTCCCAGGACAGCTGCCTACTGTGGCTCCTGCCAGGACTTGTCACACTGCTGTGCGAAACAGCATCCCACTGCCTCTTTCCCTTTGCTGGGGGAAAACCAAGTTGTGGGAGCCGCTGAGTAAACTGGACCGAGCGGCAAGGGCACCCGCTGTGGCTGCTGCCTCCTGGGCAGGTCCTCAATGCTTTCTTCCTGTGTGTCCCTGGCCAGGGCACAGATGGCCCTCCTCTTCTGGCTGCTGCTGTGTTCTCTCAGCCTCCTCTATCTTCCCTTCCAGGCTGGGGAATAACCACATCACCGCCGCGGGAGCCCGAGTGCTGGCCGAGGGGCTCCGAGGCAATGCCTCCTTGCAGTTCCTGGGGTAGGTTGGATTCCAGGAAGAGGGACCTGCATGGAGGGGCTTGGGACTTTTGAGGATTTAGGGGTAGGTGAAACTCTTCAGCCAGGAGGCCCCAGAGGCAGCCCTGCTCCAGTGTGGCGAGGGGGGCGGGGCAAGCCAGGGAAAGAGTGGGCGGCTCTTGACTGCCACCTTCACACTTGGTCTAGGCCTGACAAACAGGAAGTTTGGGATGTTGGGGTTAGGGGAGGGCAGTGCCCATGAGCTGGTGGCAGGAAGCCCTCTGGGCCTCTAGGGGCGCTAGGGCTGTACTTTGGCTGCATATTAAAACCACTTGGGAGCTTCTAAACACTATTGGCAGGCCCCCCACCCCAGACTGATGAAATGCAAATATCTAGGTGCAGGGCTTAGGTATCAGGAGTTTTAAAAAGCTTCCCAGGGGATGGACATCCAGGGGTGAGGATCCCTGACCTAAGAAAGAGAAGGAAATGGGGAAGGCCAGGAAGGCACCCAGGGTAAGAGGGGGCTGTGCAAGGTCCTTCGGAGCTCTTGCTCCCTGTAGGACCATGCTAGGGCCTGCCAGGGAGGGGTGTACCCCAAACTGCAGCCCCAGGGTGGGCTTCCTCTGTTTGCTAGGCACCCAGGCTTGCCCCTGTGCTGTTCCCAGCAGCCGCTCTCCTATCCTCTCATGCCCTAGTGTGAACTGGGGTCCATTTGACAAGAACTAGGAGTTTTAGAACCTGGAACTGTAGGAAGAGAGAACAACCTTAGGGCCTAAGTGTTCCAGCCCATTTCACAGGGAGGCAAGTGACTCCCAAGCTCAGGTTTTTGTTTCGTTTCGTTTTGTTTTTTTGAGACGTAGTCTCACTCTGTCACCCAGGCTGGAGTGCAGTGGTGCAATCTCGGCTCACTGCAACCTCCACTTCCCTGGTTCAAGCGATTCACATGCCTCAATTTCTCAAGTAGCTGGGATTACAGGCGCCCACCACCACGCCCAGCTAATTTTTGTATTTTTAGTACAGACAGGGTTTCGCCATGTTGGCCAGGCTGGTCTCGAACTCCTGACCTCAGGTGATCCACCCGCCTTGGCCTCCCAAAGTGCTGGGATTACAGGTGTGAGCCACCGCACCCAGCCCTCAAGCTCAGTTTGAGCCACAAATGGGACTATGTTGCTCTAGAAATCAACATCTTTTCCACACTGCTTTAGTAGCAACAGGGTCTAGAACAAAGGAGGCTACAGCCCCACTGAACTCTTTTCTGCTTGAGGTCACATCTGCCACATCGGGGGTATTTACCTCTTTCAACACGTATTTATTAGGGTACCTGTCTGGGTCAGGCATTGTGCTAAAACCCCCAAACGCTGTCATATGATACAAAGTGTTCTGTAACTTGCTCTTTTTTTTTTTCTTCATAATATAGGAATTTTTTTAGGTCATTATGACCTCTTTACTTAATTACCTATTTATTTATTTTATTAATATTTACAGACAGGGTCTCGCTCTGTCACCCAGGCTGGAGTGCTGTGGTTGCAAACATAGCTCATTGTAGCCTTGAACTCCTGAGCTCAAGCGATTTTTCCTACCTCAGTCTCCTGAATAGCTGGGACTACAGGCACACGCCACCATGCCTGGCCAATATTTTAATATTTTGTAGAGACGGGGTCTCACTATGTTGCCCAGGCTGGTCTCAAACTCCTGGGCTCAAGTAATCCTCCCTCCTTGCCTCCCAAAGTGTTGGAATTGCACATGTGAGCTGCCTTGCTCAGCCTGACTTCATTTTTCAAAGAGCCACAGAGTGTTACATAATCTATTTAACTGGTCACTTTTTGATCACTATTAAGTTGTTTTCAGGTTTTTTGTTATTCCAGTGTCATATCCCTGGGGCACAGAGCAGTGCTGGCACATAGCCGGAGCTCAATAAATATGTACCTAATGAATGAAAGTACAGTGGACATCCTAATTCAGCCATCCTTTGCTAACTTGTGCACATACCTGTCCAGGGTAGGTCCCTAGAATACAGTTGATAAGTCAGAAGGTGTGAGTTGGGCTCTACCTTTTGGAAAGGGATGTTTTCAAACTACAGTGAGTCGGAGGAGAATGGCCCAGAAGCTGAGGGTGTTGAAGCTGATGGTGTGGTGGGGTGTTAGGAAGAAGCAAGAGATAAAGAGCTTTGCAGAAGCAGCGTTAGACTTTGTTATGGGCAGGTACTGGAGGGTAGCTAAGGATTTGTGGGTGGCAGTTACTAGGAAGCTGAACTAAGTGTCAGAAAAAGTGTCTCAACTGTAAATTACTCTTGTCAGTGAGTTCCTGTCCTTAAAGGTTTGGGGCTGGGTAGGCCTCTACTATTCTCTAAGTCTGTAATGTAAAACCACTGAAAACTCTTGGGTTAAGTTTGGCCATCCCACCCAAGAGATGGAGACAGGTCCACTTTGCTGGAACCAGGAGCCCCAGTGAGGCCACTCTGGGATTAAGTGGTCCTGCCCCTCTGGCTGGGACTGCAGAGGAAGGAGGACTGTCAGTTCATGTCTAGAACACATATCAGGTACTCACTGACACTGTCTGTTGACTCTTGGCCTTTTCAGATTCTGGGGCAACAGAGTGGGTGACGAGGGGGCCCAGGCCCTGGCTGAAGCCTTGGGTGATCACCAGAGCTTGAGGTGGCTCAGGTAAGCTTCAGAGTCTATCATGCAGTTTTCTTGGAGAGATCAGGTAAAGAGGGAGGAACTCGGGCCAGTTTTGAAGGTCTTTGAACTTTATTTCTACCCCACAATATTAGGCAATGGAGTAAGGAAAAAACACCATTGGATTTCAAGACAGGACACTTGAGTCTTTCTGGGTGACTTTGGAAATGTCCCTTGTCCTCTCAGGGTTTTGATACAGTATCTGTAAATTGAAGATATTGGACTGGATCAGGTACATTTTATCTTAAGGACCAATTCCAATCCATTGGTAGTGGCTGCCTGGTGCACAACGTTAAGAAGAATTCTAAGGCTGCACCTGGGCTTAAAGAGCACCATAATCAATTAGTGATGTCTAAAAAAGGTAAAAAACAAAACAAAAAGAGCACTGCAATCAATTAGTAATATCTAAAAGAGGTTTAAAGAAAGAGCACTGCAGTCAATTAGTGATGTCTGAAAAGTGTAAAAAAAAAAAAAAAAAAAGAGAGAGAGAGAAAGAGAGCACCACAATCTATTAGTGATGTCTGAAATGGAGCAGACCAGGAGAGCACCATGAATGTTGTCCTCCATAGGTTAGTTCATCTCTGAGGTCCTTCCCTGCTCTGACATGCTTTTGTTCCATGGTTACCTCCAGCCTGGTGGGGAACAACATTGGCAGTGTGGGTGCCCAAGCCTTAGCACTGATGCTGGCAAAGAATGTCATGCTAGAAGAACTCTGGTGAGTTTGGGGGATTTTCTGCTCTGGGGAGGTGGATCACAATCTCTGCTGATCCCCTGGCCTCATCCATAGGAGCAGTTGTGTGGACAGACAAAGGTCAATGATTGAGTGATTGACTGATTGATTGATTGTGTTTGTCTTTATATGTACTGAGTGGTATGAAGCTTATAGAGCCTGGTATGTACATGCTAATTTTTTAATTTAATAAAATATATTGGTTTGCTGGTTTGATGACTGCCTCCACATGGCATAAGTGTTAAGAGCACAGACTCTGGAATCAAGCAGGCCATGATCTTAAGCAAGTTAAATAACAATTTCAGAATCTCAAGTTTCATGTCTGTAAAATGAGGGTAAGAATACTTCCAACCATAAAGGATTTTTGCAAGAATTAGATAAGGTAGTGCGTGTGAAGACCTTAATATAGTGTCTGGCATATTTGTAAGTGCTCCATAAATGTTAAATTAGAATAGTGACAGGGTTGCTACTACTATTGCTGCTGCTGCTGCTGCTGCTACAACTACTACTAGTACTGTGACTACTACTAATAATAAAGTTTTGTTATTTTAAAGTGAATTTGAGTTCCTAGGAGTACTGGGTGTTCAAGTCATAGGTCACTTTGGAAGGTATAATGGAGTTTTGATAGTTGAAAGAGGAACCATGAATCATGCTTATACTGTTGACCTGAAGCAGATTCTAAGTTTCTCATCCTTTAGATGCCACCAGTATAGTTTTCTGACATGTTCTGGGCAGTTTCAGATTATGTCAGGGAGATAAAATGCTGAATGTTTGATTTTCCCAGGAAGCAGAAAGGCACTGCAATATATGGGCATTGACATAAACAGATTTTGTGGATGGACCTCGGCTGTTGCAGGGCTTACTAGGTCCACTAAAGTATGATTTGATTCTATCCTGACCGGATTTTGCCACTTGGAATTTCTTAGTAGAGGAGAACCTTATTGTGAGAGCATCAGTTATGATTACTGTTAAAAGAAAAACTTCCGGCAAATTAAATTTAGCAGAGCTGATTTGAGCATACAGCAGTTTATGAATTGGGCAGCATTCAGAACTGGGAGTGCTTCACCCAGCAAGGTGGGCAAGCACTATCTACAGACAGGAAAAGGAAGTGATGTACAAAACAGCTTGATTGGTTGCAGCTGGGCACTTGCCTTGTTTGGGCATGATGTGATGAGGCATTTTCCTTATATGGACATAGTCTGATCAGCTGGTAGGCTGTGATTGACTGAAGCCTGGTTGCTGTGATTGACTGAGACTTAGCTGTTTGTTACAAGGATATATCGTTAGGTTGCAGTTTGCCACATAGGAACTCAAAGTACGGAGGCAGTCTCAGGCCACATTTGGTTTAACTATACGTTAAGCTGCAGGTGACAGAATACCTTCATCTATAGAGGTTTAAACAAGGAAAGGGTTTATTTTTTCCTGTATAGGCAGCTGGAAGTAGGCAGTGTAGGGTTTGTACAGTGGCTACAAGAGGCCAGGAGGGGTCTCAGCTCTGTCTCATTATCTTTCTGTTCCATCATCCTTAGCCTGTGACTTCATTCACGTGGTTGGTTGCCTCATGATCACAGGATGGCTGCTCCAGCTGCGGCACTACTTCTGTATTCCAGGATTTGGTCTATATACCAGGGAAAGCCATCTGCGTTTCTCTCCTTTAAAAAGCATTCCTGGAAGTCCCACCTGTCAGCTTCCCCTTTTGTATCAACCATGTGTAGGTCACTTGACCAACCCACGTGTATGTTGTTTGACCAGCCCTGGCTGCAATGGAGAGTGGGAAATACAGTTTTTTCACCGAGTGCATGGCTGTCCAAATGAAATGAGACTTCCATTAATAAGGAAGAAAGGAAAGATGGATATTGGGAAGCTGGGGGATGAGGGAACTTATTACATAGAGAGCCCTTGGAGTGAATTCTCTTGCAAATATGTCCCTGGAATTGAGAATCCCCACAACGTACTTTATCTGTTCTTTCTTTATCCTGAGTTTGGGTTTTCAGATGTTGGATTTCCTATATGGGGGGCATGTGAGTTCATCTTTATTGACATCATCTTCCATAATCAATGTTATATCAACTGGATTTTCTCTCTTGTTCTCACCAGCCTGGAGGAGAACCATCTCCAGGATGAAGGTGTATGTTGTCTCGCAGAAGGACTGAAGAGAAATTCAAGTTTGAAAATCCTGAAGTAAGGAACCCATAAGCAGGAAACAGGACAATAATTGCTGATCTTTGGAAGGGGCATTTCTGACTAAGATCTGGGCAGCTCCCCGCTGGGGTAACTCACGTGTGGTGGCCTGGTAGAACAGCTTGCCCTGGTCTAGGTGGACAAGGATTCCAGGGCAAGTTGTTTATCTGGGAGGTCGTCCCAGTAAATGCTGATAGGAGAGTGGTGAAGTGAGATGGGAAAGCGAAGGTAACCAATAAAGGAGAGTTATCAAGAGAGTTATCAATGAGGGAAATTGGAGCTCAGTACTCTGGGGCACTCCTGGAGCCAGTGCGGAAAACACCTGGTCACCTACCCAACCAATGGGCAAGAAAGCCATGGCCTTTATCCACCAACCGTCTGTCCTTCCTGTGTTGACGTGCACTCATGGGGCACTGATTCTCTAGCACTTCCAGCTCACCCTCACCCAGCTAAACATGCTTCTGGGGTCAGGAGAATGGTCTTAGGCAGAGAGTGGCAAGTCTTTTCTGCAAGCAGTGGCTGGGGAGGTGATGTGATGGGGAGCACTGTGGCCTCCTCCAGTGGCTGACTCAGTGGCTTGGGACTTGTGCCACGAAGAGATGGACAACTGAGGTGAACATGAACCCACCTAGTGACCATCACGGGCTTGTCAGGGTGCTCTCTGAGGCTGATGCCGAAATTCCTATTTCAAGGAGACCTCAGGAACCCCATCAGATGGCTCCTTTGGCTGGAGGAAAGTGTCATCTGCCTAGGCAAATGTGGTCCTAGGAAAACGCTTGCCATTTAGAAACAGACAGACAGACAGCTGCCTCTGTGAGTGCCAGCTTTGCTGCCAGGCTGCTATCCACTCTGGCAACACTTGTTTGTGTTGCTTTCACAAGCTAGGAAATTTCCAAATATTTGGTGAAAACACTTCCACTAATCATTTGGGTGGAAGTGGGCTGGGAAGTTGGGGTGAAGCCCAGTTATTGAGCCAGATGCCAGCTTTGCACTGAGGATGGGCCTTTGGGAATACCAGGCCCATTATTGACCAGGTGTGGATATGGCAGTTTTGTCTTCCCTCCTTGTCACAGCCTTACTCCACTTGACTCAAGTGGATGCCAGGCAATGAGGCCGGGGTTTGTCCCATGCCACCCTGTCATCAGCCTTATTATTCAGCATCCTAAACTATATCATCCCCCACAAAAATTGAACTTCTGATATATCTTTTTTTAAAAAGAGAAATTCCTGCATTTTTCTTTTCCAGGCTTAGTTTCTGCCAAGAGTTGGTTAAGAGTCCAGACTTGCCAGGTGCAGTGGCTCACACCTGTAATCCCAGCACTTTGGGAGGCTGAGGTGGGTGGATCACCTGAGGTGGGGAGTTTGAGACCAGCCTGATCAACATGGAGAAGCCCTGTCTCTACTAAAAATACAAAATTAGTCGGGCGTGGTGGCACACATCCGTAATCCCATCTACTCGGGAAGCTGAGGCAGGAGGATCACTTGAACCCGGGAGGTGGAGGTTGCCATGAGCTGAGATCACACCATTCCCCACCAGCCTGGACAAGAGAGAAGCTCCATCAAAAAAAAAAAAAAAAAAAGCAGTAAAACCCTAGGTTTTCAAGATATGTTTCAAAAAAAAAAAAAAAAAAAAAAAAAGATGAGAAAAATAATAATAATAATAAAGAGTCCAGGTTCTAGAACCAGACAGCCTGGGTCTTACCCCTGCTCTACCATTACCAGCCAGTTCTTCTTGGATGAGTGCCTCAGTTGCCTCAAGTGTAAATGGAGATAATGTCTGGACCTTCATTACAGGCCATGAGCATTCACTGAGAGAATGTAGGTAATAAAAGTAAGTTGTAGGTTGGAGCAAAAGTAATTGTGGTTTCGGACCATGAATTTTAAATTATTATAACTGGGCTAAAATACATCTTTATTAATCAAAATAGGTATCATTATAATAAACACATTTTTTACCAATAAGAAATAAGTTTGTTTATTCCTGTAGCATAAAAATTCGTGCTTCGGGATTCGACAAACTCTTGGAAAGCATTTTCTGCATCCTGCTGGTTGTAGAAGCATTTTCCCTGCAAAAAGTCGTCGAGATTCTTGAAAAAATGATAGTCAGTTGGCCAGAGGTCAGGTAAATATGGCGGATGAGACAAAACTTCATAGTCCAATTCATCCAACTTTTGAAGCTTTGGTTGTGCGACGTGCAGTCGGATATTGTCGTGGAGAATTGGACCCTTTCTGTTGACCAATGCCTGCTGCAGGCGTTGCAGTTTTCAGTGCATCTCATTGACTTGACGAGCATACTTCTCAGATGTAGTGGTTTCGCTGGGATTCAGAAAGCTGTAGGGGATCAGACCAGCAGCAGACCACTGGTGACCATGACCTTTTTTTTTTTTTGGCACAAGTTTGGCTTTGGGAAGTGCTTTGGAGCATCTTCTCGGTCCAACCACTGAGCTAGTCCTTGCCAGTTGTATAAAATCCACTTTTCATCTCATGTCACAATCAGATCAAGAAATGGTTCACTGTTGTTGTGTAGAAAAAGAGAAGATGACACTTCAAAATGATGATTTTCTTGGTTTTCACTCAGCCTCATGAGGCACCCACTTATCGAGCTTTTTCACCTTTCCAATTTGCTTCAAATGCTGAACGACCATGGAATGGTCGATGTTGAGTTCTCAAGTGGTTGTAAGAAGATCAGCTTTGATGATTGCTCTCAATTGGTCACTGTCAACTTCCAATGGCCTGCCAGCACAGCTCCTCATCTTCCAGGCTCTTGTCTCCTTTGCAAAACTTCTTGAACCACCACTGCACTGTACGTTCGTTAGCAGTTCCTGGGCCAAATGCGTTGTTGATGTTTTGAGTTGTCTCCGCTGCTTTATGACTCATTTTGAATTCGAATAAGAAAATTGCTTGAATTTACTTTTTGTCTAACATCATTTTCATAGTCTAAAATAAATATAAAATAAACAGAAAGTATTAAGTCATTAGCAAGAAATCATAAAGTGAGAATTCTTCATTAAAACGATGTATAACATAACCACATTTATTTAAGAATGTATTCCAATATCAAATGGTAAATTTCAATAGTACAAAAACTGCAATTACGTTTACACCAACCTAATAGAAGCTCAACAAATACTGGCAATTACAAGCATTGCCTTAGGGTCAACTTGAAAGACGTTCCTAAAATTGTGGGAAAGGGGGAGGACCTGGAGTGGACATTATCGGAAGGCAAAGCTATAAGCAAAAGAGCAACATGGGAAACACATGACTCCTCCGTTACTGTCCCTGGCCCTATCCTGTCACCCCTCCCTGTTGTCAGCTACCTCATATATTCTCTAATCTCTGTGTCTGTGCCCTCAAAGACCCCCCTAAAAATGGAAATATTACTGCTCATTGGTTATTTTCTATCAATTAAGTACTGTATTAGTCCATTTTCATGCTGATGATAAAGATATACCCAAGACTGGGCACTTTTTGAAAGGAAGAGTTTATTGGACTCACAGTTCCACATGGCTGGGGAGGTCTCACAATCATGGCGGAAGGTGAAAGGCACATCTCACATGGCAGCAGACAGGAGAAGAGGGCTTGTTCAGGGAAACTCCCCTTTTTAAAACCATCAGATCTCGTGAGACTTATTTACTATAATGAGAACAGGATGGAATTCAATTACCTTCCACTGGCTCCCTCCCACAACATGTGGAAATTCAAGATGAGATTTGGGTGGGGACACAGCAAAACCATATCGAGTACTGCGCAAGTGTTTTAGGTTTGCAGAGAGTGGTGGGTCTGCCCGGCAAGCAGAGTGTGGGGAGATAATGCCGGGACTGGTGGCTGACTTAATGGCCCGGGACCCATGCCACAAGGAGATGGATGGTGGATGTGAACAGGAGCCTGCTTACACCCATCACAATTTAGATTCTTATGCTTGATGACACAGGTACTCTTTTAGGCCCATTTTACCAATGAGGAAATTAGAACTAATTTGCTCAAGATCAAAAAAAGAAGTGGTGTAGGTGGGATTTAAACCCAGGACATCTAGCACTAAAATGCATGTACTTAACTACTATCCTAAGGGAGTGGCTACTTAATTTGATAAACTCATCTAGTGAATGGAAGAGAGATGGGTACATTTCACTGACGGTACTGAGCCTTCGCTGATGAGCTCACTGGGAATCTCAGACATGAGTGGGAGGTGTCTACGGGACAGGTGGGCTTCAGTAGGCTGGATAACTCCTGAAGTCTCTTTAACTGGACAGTTTCAAGAGGAAAACCAAGAATCCTTGAAGCTCACCATTCTATCTTCTTCTCCAGGTTGTCCAATAACTGCATCACCTACCTAGGGGCAGAAGCCCTCCTGCAGGCCCTTGAAAGGAATGACACCATCCTGGAAGTCTGGTAAGGCCCCTGAGCAGGCCTGCTTTAGCTCTCTGAGCCTCAGTTTTTTCTATCTGTAAAATGGGGTGGTGGGAGAGAGGAAAATTTCGAGGATCCTTCTGATTCTCACATTCAGGGAGAATGATTCTGCATGTGAGGGATCTGGTTCTCTGTCTAAGAAGTCTTTACATCTTTCTGTAGGAAGCAATGATTTCATTTTTAAACCTTGACTATTTATTCAGCAACTTCTCTGTTCTATGAGATAGTGTAGGAATGGGGATGTGGTTGAAGAATGAAAAGAAGAGTCAGCTCCTGCCCTCCTGGGAACTGCATCTGCCTTCACAGGTCAAAGATCCTGGATCAGACCTTCTGTGGTTCTGAATGGAGGTTACACAGGTTAGGAGCAGGTTGCACAGTGTATCCAGTTCTCTATAAGAAAGCCATAGTCCTTCATGTATTTGAAAAAAGCAAGAATTGCATTCTTGACAGATTCTTTCGTTGCCTTAAAAAGAATGGCCTTGGGAGTCTGGGCAGCTGGGTCCAGTGTTGTGGACTTTCTCTCTGCTGAGCCACAGCTTCAAAGATTTGTTCTTATTTCCAGGGATCTATTTCTCAGACAATAAGTAAAGGTTTTCCCTGGCCTAATGTGCTATAAGTGAATGTTACTATGTATGTTCCAGGCACTGGGCTAGAGACTAATATTTAAAAGCCAGGACATTTCCTATAAAAAATCTGTATCTCAGGGTTTTCTCAAAAGAGCTGGGAACTCTGGATGCTCATTCATGATTCCAGTAGTTAACCAGAGTACAAGAAGGGCTAAGTCTTCTCAGATGGGCAAACCCACTCTGGTTGACTGCAGATCCACCAAGCCTATTGCCTTAGACCAGGACCCTTTGGCAACTCATTCCCATAAGCTTGTCATCCCTGCTTTAAATATGCAGGCCTTGTCTTCTTTCAAAAAGCATACCAAGGCTGCAGCAAATGCAGATATCAAATGATGAAGTTAAACACAAAAGCTTTGCTGGGCGTGGCATCTCACACCTGTAATCCCAGCCCTTTGGGAGGCTGAGGCAGGAGGATCACTTGAGGCCAGAAGTGCGACATCAGACCTCTTCTCTTAAAAAAAAAAATTCAGCTGGGTGCGGTGTAGTTCCTAGCTACTCGGGAGGTTGGGATGGAAGGATCCCTTGAACCCAGGAGTTCAAAGCTGCAGTGGGCCACGATTGCATCACCGCACAGGCGACAGAATTAGATTCCCGTCTCTTAAGATAATAAAAAATTTAAAAGTGACTTCAAAAATCTATGCTGTGATGGAGAGATTTTTCCTTCTGTAAGATTGTGACATTTCTGTGGCCTATGACATCATCAGGTTCTGGGCAGAGCGTAGGTTTTCTGTTTCTTTGTTTTTGAAACCATTGCTCAGTCCTAAGAAACATCACATTCTGTGTCCTGGGCACCAGCCAACATCAGGTTGATATTTTAAGGGATCTGATGCTATTTGCTGCCTGTTGATGGAACTTGGGAGGGCACCAGGGTTTGCTCATTGCATTCTTGACAGATTCCCTTGTTGCCTTAAAAAGAATCACTGGCCTTGGGGAGTCTGTGGCTGGCTGGGTGCAGTGTTGTGGACTCTCTCTCTCTGCAGAGTCATGGAGCCTTGTTCAGAATGCTTCATGAGCTGCCCTGGTTGACCGAGGGTAAAACGGCCCTGACTTCCCTGCAAGAAACACTGCAGCTGGGCCAGAGGGTCAGCCCATGCCAGGCATGGGTTTAAAAAGTGGAGGCTTTTGTTTGAACGCCCTGCTCTAATTTTGTCCTCACTCAAACCTCTGTTCACTTGATCTCCTTTAGGCTCCGAGGGAACACTTTCTCTCTGGAGGAGGCTGACCAGCTTGGCTGCAGGGACACCAGACTCTTGCTTTGAAGTCTCCGGGAGGATATTCATCTCAGTTTGTTTGTGAGCAAGCTGTGAGTTTGGGCCCCAGAGGCTGGGTGACATCTGTTGGCAGCCTCTTCAAAATGAGCCCTGTCCCGCCTAAGGCTGAGCTTGTTTTCTGGGAACACCATAGGTCACCTTTATTCTGGCAGAGGAGGGAGCATCAGTGCCTTCCAGGATAGACTTTTCCCAAGGCTACTTTTGCCATCGACTTCTTCCCAAGATTCAATCCCAGGATGTACAAGAGGGACAGCCCCTCCTCCATGGTATGGGACTGGCCTCTACTGATCCTCCCAGGCTTCCATGTGGGTCAGTGGGGCCCATGGATGTGCTTGTTAACTGGGTGCCTGTTGGTGGAGAGGCCTGGACTATCACAAAAGACCCCTTCCCACTGCTCTGATGAAGAGGAGTACACAGAACACAATTCAGGAAGCAACTTTCTCCATGTCTCGACTCATCCATCCAGGCCATTCCCCATCTCTGGTTCCTTCCCTCCTCCTGGACTCCTGCACACGCTCCTTCCTCTGAGGCTGAGATTCAGAATATTAGTGGCCTCGGCTTTGATATTTCACTTACAGCACCCCCAACCCTGGCACCCAGGGTGGGAAGGGCTACACCTCAGCCTGCCCTCCTTTCCGGTGTTTAAGACATTTTTGGAAGGGGACACATGACAGCCGTTTGTTCCCCCAAGACATTCTAGGTTTGCAAGAAAAATATGACCACACTCCAGCTGGGATCACACGTGGACTTTTATTTCCAGTGAAATCAATTACTCTTCAGTTAAGCCTTTGGAAACAGCTCCACTTTAAAAAGCTCCAAATGCAGCTTTAAAAAATTAATCTGGGCCAGAATTTCAAACGGCCTCACTAGGTTTCTGGTTGCTGCCTGTGAACTGAACTCTGACAACAGACTTCTGAAATAGACTCACAAGAGGCAGTTCCATTTCATTTGTGCTAGAATGCTTTAGGATGTACAGTTATGGATTGAAAGCTTACAGGAAAAAAATTAAGCCCTTCCTTCTAAGCAAATGTCTTCCTGGATTATTCAAAATGATACATGTCGAAGCCTCTGTAAATTGTCAGATGCTGTGCAAATGTTATTGTTTTCAACATTAAGATGTGTGAAAACTGGTTAATATTTATAAATTACTTTGTTTTATTGTCTTAAGTTTATACTTTTATAGACAACATGGCCGTGAACTTGATGCTGTAAATAATCAGAGGGGAATAAAGTATTGAGTCAAAACAGCCATCTTCCTTGTGACCAAACATTTAAAAATATTCTGGCCAGGCATAGTGTCTCACTACTGTAATCCTATCACTTTGGGAGGCAGAGGTGGGCGGATCACCTGAGGTCGGGGGTTTGAGACCAGCCTGACCAACATGGAGAAACCCCGTCTCTACTAAAAATAGCGGAGGTTGCAGTGAGCCGAGATTACACCACTGCCCTCCAGCCTGGGCAACAAGAGTGGAACTCCGTCTCGAATAAATACATAAAATAAAAAATAAAAATATTCCTAAAGCTTATCAAATTTTAAAGCACAATTTTCTATTTGAAGGGGGGGAAAAATGATATTTTCAACCCGATCTTGTATAGCTTAAGGCAAAAGCAATTCTTAGAAAATAGCCAGGCAATCAAAACACTTTTGGCTTCAGTTTAGAAAAATTTAACCCGGTGGAGTTTTCAGCTGTGCAGGAGCCACCCCATACCCAGCCTAAAAGGCTGCAACACATGTGAAAAGGCCCCTTGGCTGCCCTGCATTCCCTCAAAGTGGCTCCAGGAGTCTTTAACAGGAGAAAGATGGAGAAGGTTTACCTACGGCTGGCTCCCCACAGCGAGCAGCCTCTCATGCAGGCCTTGTGTTAAAATAATGCTTAGCTGCGTTTAATGAGCAAGGGATCAGGTGGTCGCCCAGCAAGGTGAAATGCTACTTCCTTGAAATTTCTCTTTAAATTTCTATTATAAGGAAACTGCGATTGCATTTGTGCGTGTCTGGCTTACTCGGTGTTGCGGCATCTCCCTGGACCCTGTGTGGGAATGTGTCTGTGGGTTTTCTCTGTGATTGGTGCCGTGTTCTGCCCAGACCATTGTTTCTAATATAGCAGATCAGGAGGAAGGTGGCGATGAGTCTCCTTTCGCTGAGGTGAACCCACAGCAGCCCATTTGCATAGCATATTGGGTTGTCAATTTGTCATCTTTAAATTCATTCAGCAATGAGGTCAGGCATGGTGGCTCAAGCCTGTAATCTCAGCACTTTGGGAGGCTGAGGCAAGTGGATCACTTGAGGTCAGGAGTTCAAGACCAGCCTGGCCAACATGGAGAAACCCTGTCTCTACTAAAAATAGAAGAAGAAAAAAATAAGTTAGCTGGGTGTGGCAGCGCACGCCTGTAATCCCAGCTACTTGGGAAGCTGAGGCAGTAGAATCGCTTGAATCTTGGAGGAGAAGGTTGCAGTGAGCTGAGATCATGCTGCTGCACTCCAGCCTGGGCGACAGAGCGAGACTGTCATAAATTAATTAATTCATTAATTCAGCAATGATTTATTAACCAGTTATATAAGGACGACCAGTGGATGGACAAAACAGACATGGTCCTCAAGGTGCTTAGGTGAGGGTAGAGGGAGAGGCAGGCAGAAAACAAGTCAGTTGAAAAAGATATGAAAAAATCTTCAGCCAGGCACTGTGGCTCATGCCTGTAATCTCAGCACTTTGGGAAGCCGAGACGGGCAGATCACTTGAAGTTGGGAGTTCGAGACCAGCCTGGCCAACATGATGAAAACCCGTCTCTACTAAAAATACAAAAATTAGCCAGACATGGTAGCAGGTGCCTGTAATCTAGCTACTTGGGAGGCTGAAGCAGGAGAACTGCTTGACCCCGGGAGGCAGAGGTTGCAGTGAGCTGAGGTCACACTACTGCACTCTAGCCTGGGCAACAGAGCAAGACTCTATATCCAAAAAAAAAAAAAAAAAAGTCTTCAGGCTGTTGAGGGCCTGGTCCGAGACAGGTTGTCTGAGGAGGTGCCAGGTAAGCTGTGTCCCCAAGAATGACAAAGATATGGCCAAGCAAAGAGTGAGAGGGAACAAGGGAGCATTCTAGTCATGGGGGACAAGCAGTACAAAGACCCTCGTGGGGGAAGGAGCCTGGTATGCATGGTAGGCTCAATAGTCACTCCCAAAGATACGTAGATTCTAATTCCCGGGACCCTGGGAATGTTGCCTTACATGGCAAAAGGGACTTTGGAGGTGGGATTCAGTTAAGGGTCTTGAGATAGAAAGATTATCCTGGATTACCTGGATGAGCCTTAAATGCAATCACAGTTTCCTTATAAGAGAAATTTAAAGGACAACGTAAAGCAAAGGGAAATATGACACCAGAGAAGAAAGCAATGTGATCACCAAGTAAGATGCTACACTCCTGGCTTTGAAGGTGGAGGAAGGTGCCATGAGCCAAGGATTGCAGCTCTAGAAGGTGAAGAAGACCAGGAAATAGATTATCCCCTAGAACCTCCGCAAGCCGCATAGCCCTGCCTGCCTTGGCTCCAGCCCATTTTGGACTTCTGACCTCCAGGACTATAAGGGAATAATTTGTGTCATTTCCTGCGGCAGCCGTAGGAAACTAATACACTATGTTGGAGGCAAGCTAAGGGAAAGGTGTCACTAGATGAGTTTGCAGAGGTAGGTAGGGCCAGTTCAGGAAAGGTGTCACTGGCCACAGTCAAGAGTTTGGTCTTGATCTTGGAATAACATCAAGGCCTTGGAAAGTTCTAAGCAGGGGAGATGTGAACCAATTTACAGTTAAAGAAGACCTTCTTTGCTCCTGGGTGGAGATGGGACAGGAATATGTAGGGGTGGGGATGGGAGGCAGAAGAAGTGGGGAGGCTGCCTCAGAGCTATTGCAGGTGAGAGGCGGTTGGCAGTGGAGGTGGAGAGAAGAGGATGGATTCCAGAGACATTCTGGAGGTAGATTCCCAAGAGCCTACGAATGGGTTGGATGGGAGGGATGAGGGAATGGCAGACATCAAGGATGACTCATAGATTTCTGACTTGAGAAACTGGGGGCTTGGGAAAGTTGGGTGGGAAACCAGTTTGGAAGTGGGAGGGAGTTCTGTTTTGAATTGTCAAGTTTGAGACACCGAAATGGAGAAGTTAAGTGGAGATGTCAAAAGATGGTGTGAATTTGGAGCTCATGGGAAAGGTCACAACCAGAGGTAACAGCGTGGGCGTCCTTAGTGTCAAACTGAGAATGGGGCCCTTGAGTCTGGATGACATGAGCTAGAAAGAGATTATGGAGAAAGAAGAGGTCAAGAGGGCCTAGGTAAGATGGTACTGAGATCTTGATATGTGATTCCTGGTAGAGTTCAGAATAGGAGAAATTCCCTAATTTTCAAAAGTCCAGCGGATACCACCAAAAGCCTCCTGGGCCGGTGTAGGGAACTAGGGAAGTAGAATTCTTGATTGTAAGCTTCTCTGATAGAAAAGTTACCTGAAAGGTACATGCTCATGGCCAGAAGTTTATCCATGAGCAGACAGATTCCAGTTTTGCAGCCAAGAATACATAATTCTCATGCACAGAAAAACAAGGTATTAGAGCAGAATTTTAAAAACAGCCTCAGACTTTCATAATATTCACCACCATCCTGGACGAAAAAGGATGCCAATCTGAGGGCCCTTCCCTCCCCATAGCACCAAACAAAAAGCTGAAATGAATACACCCCACAGAAATGTGAGAGGTGGAGTCATATTCCAAGCGGCTGAGCTGAGGCTAACCCTTCATTCCATTATTGTACCAGGACAGCTTCAAGCCTCCTTCTTCACTCGGGTGAGTGGTCCAGCCCAGTGTGTGAGGCGCCCAGTACTCAGGGCAATGCCTGGCAGTGCCTGGGCACAAGAGAATGTGCTGCCTCAGGCCCTGGGTGGAGGGTTCCAGGTGAACTGTAAGGTCATAAAGGACATTTCCCCTGGAGAATCACAGGCAGAGATCACAGCAGGGAAGACCGGCAATCCAGGTTCTTTGATTGGCTTCCCTTGGACAGTTTTTTTCCCTCTAAATTTAATCACAACTTATTATTATTTCCTGAACAATCCACAGATCCAGTCCCCTAAGCATCACCACTCCCCTGATCACTCACCCTGAAAATGCTTCTTTTCAGGAGTGCTACATCTCTTTCTGCTTTGTAGCAACTTATCTCTTGATATCTTCAGTTCCACATCCCCTTGCACCCCTCCCTCTCTCCTCCTCTGCCTCCACCCCCAGGAAACAAGGGGTTCCCTTTGGGATCCATCCTTGCCTGGGTTACTGCATCAGTCTCCCTGTTACTGCCTTTGACACGAAGCGTGAACCTATTAAAACATAAGTCAGATCAGCCACTGCTCTGATGTAAACTCTCCAGGACTTCTTGTCTGGTGCAGGGTAAAAGTCAAGGTCTCATCTGACTTGGACCCGCTGTGTCCTCTCTGGCCTCCCCTTTGCCACTCATACCTGTTCTCTGGGCTCCAACCTCACTGGCTTCTTTGCTGTTCCCTGAGCATACCAGGCACATTGCTGAGGACACCTGGCACATCGCTGCTTCCAGACATCTGCACTCACCTGTCCCCTCCTACGGGAACACTGTTCCCTGAGACGGTGGTGTGGTTGGCTTCTTCACTGCCTTCGGGTCTTAGTTCAAATGCCACCTACATGAGGTAGTCCTTCCCTGAACGATCTACCTAAATAGCAGTTTCCAATCACTGCCTACCCTCCTTTGTATTGTCTTCTGTGCATGAACTACCTGACACGTGGTCAGTTTTCCCTTCCCCTAGAATGTCAGCTTCTGGAGAACAGGAACCACGCTCACTGCAGTGTCCTCAGAGTCTACAAAGGTGCCTAGCACATAGTAGGTGCTCAGTACATATTTGTTGAATGAAGGAAGGATCTACTTTCTTTATTAAAGGGGGCAGAAACTAGAAGTTGGGGCAGCTTATGAGTCACCCTGGCCGGGCACGGTGGCTCATACCTGTAATCCCAGCACTTTGGGAGGCTGATGTCAGGAGATCGAGACCATTCTGGCTAACACGGTGAAACTTCGTCTCTACTAAAAAATACAAAAAATTAGCTGAGTGTGGTGGCGGGTGCCTGTAGTCCCAGCTACTCAAGAGGCTGAGGCAGGAAAATGGTGTGAACCCGGGAGGTGGAGCTTGCAGTGAGCCAAGATTGGACCACTGCACTCCAGCCTGGGTGACAGAGCAAGACTCTGTCTGAAAAGAAAAAAAAAAAAAAAAAAAGAACGAGTCACCCTTTTTCTGACAGCGTTTCTGTCTCCTTTCTAAAGGAGGAAGATTCCCTGGGACATGGAACA